CTAAATGATGCATCCCATTGTTTGCTAATTACATCAATATATTTTTCCCATTTAATGAGCAGTGGCTTAGCCTCCAAGTGCCTCAGGTGCATGGAAATATTTACTGACTGACACCTGTTAGGACTAAGGAACGGGAAGGATCCAAATGTGTTGACAGGCAGAGGAACTAATTTATAATAGATTTTAATTACAGAAAGCTAGGACAAAATACCAAGGAAGATCTAGAGGAGCTCAACCTGACAAATGCAACACAAAATGATGAACAGGATATAACACAACAGGTCAGTCAGGAAGCGAGATGAATGAACTCTAAAACAACAAACCCAAACTGTAAGCAAGGCCAAAGGGGAAGAATCCAGAAGATACTGGAGCAAAACAAGAGCTGTAAACAAAAACTTCAGGAACCAGGTGTAGCAAGAGAATGAACCAGCCCAGCAGGAAACTCAGCAAAGGGAGGCGAATATAAAGGTCGGAGACCAGGAGCTAGCGAGCAACAATATCAATAAATATCTGATGCTCCATTAACAGTATTTTGATTGTTTACATGTTTATGCCTCTGCACAGGTGACAGCTTCATAGTAAGGTCTAGACTTTACTATTATCATTACAGAGAAAACCCCAACAAATCCCCCTGAGCAAGCACTTGGCAAGAGTCCTATAGTGGACAGACAGAGAAGGAGGTAAGTCCCTTTATGATACAAAATGATCACAAAGAGATGCAAAACAAACACCAAAAAAGACACAAAAGATCCTTTAATCTCGTATGTTCTCACATGTATACAAAAGTTGTCCTCAGGTCACCAAAAAATATACCATATAATAAAATTGTGTTTTGCATTAACTGGGTGCCTGAGGTGGTGCAGTTGCACAAGAACATCTGGTAGGAGGAGTCACATTCCCATCTCCTGTTCCCATCAGCTTACAGCTGAATAAATAGAACCTATTTAAATTATTGTAACAAACAGTAGGATCAAAATATGTCAGTTTTTTTTACCTGTTGCAGAGGAAAATATAGAAAAACTTCATGTACTGTATCAGTTACAAATGGGCCACCATGCAATAAGTGATGTGCTAAACATTCACTGTCTTCACTATTACAAAATTCATTTGTTTCTTTGTTCAGCCATGGTACCCAGTTGCCTTAATGGTAGCTACAGTTCACCAATCATGTCATTAAGTATTCAGTATTCAGAAAAATGGATCTTTTAAAATATTTGCTAACGCTTGGTAAAACTAGTCGGCGTGCGTCGCCCACGTTAAGTATAATAGTTTTCCTTGTTTCCTCACCAACTCTGTGGCAGAAAATAACCCCTACCAGTTGTACTCTTTTTTTCTACTTGCTATTGTCTACAGTGTCTAGCTGTTTCAATAGCCTTTTTAAAAAAATGACATATAACATTTTAAGAATTAAATTTTCAATAGCAACAAACAGGCTTGGGTCTGGGAGTCACACGCAGCTGTGAAAATCAGAAAGTGATGTGAGACAAAGTTGCACATTGCTCATTTTAGTCTTTTTTTATGGGGTTTCCTGGCAGTAAGAAAAACCAGAATGTCACAGGCATTGTTCTTTAAGCTTCAAATCTCTTCTTCAGTTCAGACACTTTGATGGGAGGAGGCTCATCCTCATGCAGCTTTGAGCAGTTGTTCTCTTCTGGCATGTTGGAGTCACATGGTGGGTGAGTCTGTGCATTCTCCCTGCTTTGAAACATGTTGCACGGTGTCTCGGGCTCAGGTAAGGCCGTGGTCCGGGGCTTCGCCTGGAAGCCTTGGACCCCTGCCTGAGACTGGAAGTGTGCTACAACAGATCGTACTTTAGGAGGATAGATGGTTTGTCTTATTTCTCGCTCCTCCCTCTCTGTTGCCTCAGCACTGCCTTTTTCCTGACCTGCTGGAGGTTTAGGCTCAGCATCGAGACTCTGAGGCTCAGGAGAAGCTGTGGTTTCTGGACTGAGTGCCTCCTCTTGTCCACGCTGTTCCTCCACACTGTTGGGATGTTGGGGATTCAGCTTTGTAAGTTTGCTTACAGATCCTGCCACTTCTTGATTTTTCTCCCCCAGGTCCTCTTTGATCACTTTTTCTTTCTCTACACCTTTTAGCATTTTATTTGTTTGTATTAGTTTGCCTTCATCTACCCCCTTCAGAGTCAGATTTTGCTCATTTTTCCTCATCTCTTTCCACCCCTCATCCTCTAGCTTCTCAGCCATTTCTTTCACGCTGTCCTCTTCTAAACTCACTCTCCCTTCCTGAGCTTCTTTCTTTGTCTCTTCCTCTAACTTCACTTCCTTCAAGTTATTTATGCCATCTGTTTCTTCTCCTTGGTTCCCATTTATCACGACATTCACCTCTTCCTGTTTCTCTCCATTCTCCCTCTGTCCCTTTTCTTGTTCTCTGATTTCATACACTGTCAGGAGATTCTCTGTTCCCTCTGGCATGCCAGTGTCCGGGCACAGCCAGTCAGAGTCCTCCGTCAGGTCTGAAGGCTCCTCTGTGGTTTCCAGATTCCAGCTGTGCAGGCTGCCACTGCCACTGATGGACAGAGACAGGGTCTCCTGGC